TATACGCCGATCCAGAGCATCCCAAACATGCTCAATGGGTGACATGTCCGGTGAGTATGCTGGCCATGCAAGAACTGGGATGTTTTCAGCTTCCAGGAGTTGTGTACAGATCCTTGCAACATGGGGCCGTGCATTATCATGCTGCAACATGAGGTGATGGTCGTTGATGAATGGCACAACAATGGGCCTCAGGATCTCGTCACGGTATCTCTGTGCATTCAAAATGCCATTAATAAAATGCACCTGTGTTCGTTGTCCATAACATATGCCTGCCCATACCATAACCCCACCGCCACTCGATCCACAACGTTTACATCAGCAAACCGCTCACCCACACGACGCCATACACGCTGTCTGCCATCTGCCCTGTACACTGAAAACCGGGATTCATCCGTGAAGAGAACACCTCTCCAAAGTGCCAGACGCCATCGAATGTGAGCAGTTGCCCACTCAAGTCGGTTACGACGACGAACTGCAGTCAGATCGAGACCCCGATGAGGACGACGAGCATACAGATGAGCTTCCCTGAGAAGGTTTCTGACAGTTTGTGCAGAAATTCTTTGGTTATGCAAACCGATTGTTGCAGCAGCTGTCCGGGTGGCTGGTCTCAGACGATCTTGGAGGTGAAGATGCTGGATGTGGAGGTCCTGGGCTGGTGTGGTTACACGTGGTCTGCGGTTGTGAGGCCGGTTGGATGTACTGCCAAATTCTCTGAAACGCCTTTGGAGACGGCTTATGGTAGAGAAATGAACATTCAATTCACGGGCAACAGCTCTGGTGAACATTCCTCCAGTCAGCATGTCAATTGCATGCTCCCTCAAAAATTGCGACATCTGTGGCATTGTGCTGTGTGATAAAACTGCACATTTTAGAGTGGTCTTTTATTGTGGCCAGCCTAAGGCACACCTGTGCAATAATCATGCTGTCTAATCAGCATCTTGATATGCCACACCTGTGAGGTGGATGGATTATCTCGGCAAAGGAGAAGTGCTCACTAACACAGATTTAGACAGATTTGTGAACAATATTTGAGAGAAATAGGCCTTTTGTGTACATAGAAAAAGTCTTAGATCTTTGAGTTCAGCTCATGAAAACTGGGGGCAAAAACAAAAGTGTTGCGTTTATAATTTTGTTCAGTATATGTTCAAAATTAAGATGAGCTATTTGGACACTTGTGGATCATGTTCAGGTAAAAGCTTTATTTGTGATACTCTGCTAGGATACCTGTGTGAAAACACGATGCCACCTGCTGCTTAAAAGTCACAGAAAAAATTCTGAACAACAGGCTAATGTTTGTGTATTACTTTATATATTTTTGTTTACTACTATATATTAGTTAAAATAATTGCACATAGTGCTGTTTCCACTTCAAGTCAACTATGAATATAGATGGCAAATAGATTAATTGTTGTAAATCTTTCCATGTAAAAAAATAATAAATAAATAAATATTCACAGAATAAATATTACACAATTTGTATTTGTCAGAAATATTTAATAAAAGTAATTACTGCTCATACATTTAGAGTTGAGACATTTATCTCGGGCAACAGTATGCAGTTTCTCTAAATGACCATTTGATTTGTTCCATAATGTACAATTTGTTCTGTACAAAACACAAATGCTAAACTTTGTATAAAAAATATAAGTTAATTTAAAATGTAACTCTAATTAACAAAATAACAATGGTAATAATCAATAATTGTGGCAATAATAATATAATAGGAGCAATAATATTAATAACAATAATAATAGTCTCTAAACATAGTGCATATGAAGGGAAAGACAACTGGTTGTGGACGGAGGTGAGCGGTGCTGAATAGATCCTCTCAACTCTGACTCCGTAGTAGATGGGGGTTGGTAGCATTACTCCAGAGCGAACACACACTCGCATGCGCACGGGATCAGAAAGTGCATGACTGCCTAAGATAGCACCATTAGAATGTAGCTTACATCTCCAAACTCGGTCTCTCTGCACAGTGCGCACGTCGCATGCCGACACAACCATTGGAAGCCATGTTTAACATTCCCATATCCGATGGTGTACACACCTTTGGTACACTTAAAAACTAACAGGCATCTTGAAGCAGTTTGTGACAGTATTGGATTACATTCACTCATCAGTCCTGCAGTATTTACAGAAGGCCATCAGTCAGCCAGAGTTCCATCACTGTCTGCAGGGACTGCACGGATACAAAGAAGAAAAAAAGAAAAGAAAAAACGAAACGGAGTTCAGCCATTTGAAACGAAGGCAAACATTTTTGTTGGGTCGCAACTTGAAATCCACCTTAGCCTGCATTTGACAACATACTATGTAGAAGACATAAACCTTACTCTCCAGAAAGTGCAGTTCTCAGATGCATTTTCAGTTGCCCCTTCACTAAGCTCCCGTCCCATTGGTTACTGTTCTTTGCTCACACAAACTTTACAGAACGTCCCATAGAAACTGGAGCATAAAGCGATGCAGAAGTGTGACATTGCAAAGCATTATTCCTCTGCTGAGTTTGTGTAAAGAATCTGTTTGAATTACACAAAAACAATCATCTTTGAAGACTTGTGAATCATGTTGATTTGGGCGTGAGAGTTACAAAGTTTCATCCACAGTATGAACTTCTCAAAGTGTATTTCGATTTGGAAAAGGTAACGTAATATGTTGATCTTTCTGTTGTCATTAGCCTATTAGATATTTTTAAGCGCTGTGGACTCTCATAGACTTGCATTAGAAAAGAGGAACAGTTTGTCTGGTTTTATGGTGGATGCACCAGTTACTAAGATAGGATTGGTCAGTAATTTTGTTGTTTGTTTTAGGTTGGGGTATTTTGAAGGGGGTTAGTCCACAGAGTTAAAGGGATAGGTCACCTAGAAATGAAAATGTAGTCATTATTTACTCCTTAATTAGTAGCATAAATAATAGCACTATGAGCTTCAACGGGTTAAACGTCATATCAGGTTGGAAGATGCTGCAGATCTCAGTGAGGAACACCATGACTTGTGTGTGACTCCAGGAAGGTTCAGAGTCAAACTTATGCCGTCACAAAAGCTCTTTGCTTTGGAAGGACGCGCTTTAGGGGATTTTTGTTTTCAACTCCACTCAGAATAGGCTGTATTTCTTCATTCAAGTACTGCAAAACATTTTTGCTCAAAATATTATATAAAACATCCATCAGACCACGGGTTTATCCTGCCTTTTTCACCTCAAATGCGACAAAACATTCTTTCTGTCTGTCTTAAAAAATAAATCCACTCAAGTAGGCTTTGCGTATTTTGACCACAGCAGGATAAAACGTACCATTTTAAACTAGACGAACCATCTTAGTTACGAGTCACCCAACCAGATCGTAACTCGGGTTGGTATTTAAGGCCCCTTCAAATGTAACATGTTTTTTCAAGAAACTGAAAAAAGAAGAAAAACAAAACACCTAAGCGAAAGGATGCAGAAGCCACCTCCTAAGGAAAAGTACTGCCGTTCTGCTGAAGTGATCCCACACAGAGTGGACTTGAGTCCCAGCCATCAACGAGGGAGCCCTGATGTCATTCGAGTGTACGCCTCCGTCACCCACTGAGGTAACATTATGTTTTGTTTATTTTTCTGAATGTATCCTTCCCCGCCTGCCCTCTGCGCTTCCTCCTGTCTCTGCAGGAAGTGGGACGGTCCACAGGAAGACCAGTGTCTCAGGCAGGGTGTAGGTGGTGCTGTGGGACAGGTGCCACAGATTCAGTTGTCCACTTTTACTGGTCCACTGTCTGATGTCTCGCTCAGCTCAGCCTCGTCAGTGGAAGCCCACGCAGAGGTGTCCTCTCCTTGCACGATTCGTTCCCATTGGGCCAGGTTTTCCCTGCAAACACAGAGAGCTCTTCACATCATCACAGCAAAAACACAACAGTTGGTCTATAGCTTAAATGTGGCAAAACAATTACAAAAAATCCACAAATTAAGTGGCTAAAGTGAGAAGTAGCATGTTTTGCTTTCACATTTTCACCTCTGGACATAAAAATGTGTTTTTTAATTGCACAAAATTATAATAAGAAATGTTTTTTGAGCAGCAAATCAGCATATTGGAATGATTTTTGAAGAATCATGTGACACTGACGAAAGGAGTAAGGATGCTGAAAATTCAGCTTTGCATCACAGGAATAAACGGCATTTTAATGCATATTAAAATCGATTGGTCATATGCATATGAGCTGAGGCAAGAGACTTCTTAAAAAAAACAAAAAAACGTATCAATCCCAAACTTTTAAAAAGTGTACGATTTAAAATATATATGGCTATTAAAATATATTACAAATATTTTTTGTCAGAATTATTGTTGCATTTTTCAGTTGTGCTCTGTTTGGTTATGAAGTATATGGTTAATGGTGATTTGATTAATGGTAACAGTTGCTGTGTTGAACGTTTCAAATTTATTACAAAATTGTAAATATTGAATGTAATTCATGTAAAAAATTTAGGCAAACTTGAATGAATTAGTTTCTTTTAAAATCTTACAAATGCATTTATGCTTAAAGTGCCCCTATTATGGGTGATTAAATATTTTCATATTTTGGTTTTGGCAGTCCCCAACAACAGGTTGACATGCATGCAAGGGCAAAAAACACTTTCATTGTCTTATAATATGCATTTATTTTTACCTTATTTGCTCAACGACTCCCAATCGATTCGCTCTACGATTCATTTTTCCAAACCCCTCCTTTGCGTGACGCTAATCTGCCGTGATTGGTCTCATTTTAACTTCATCTCTTCTGTAATGCCTGATAAAGCAGCGTTTGTGAGCGCAGTGCTGCTTTGTGTACAGCGTTACCGGGGAAACCACTATTTTTACCGCTCCAAAAGCAGCACCTAGTGGCAAAGAATGAATTTACATTTTCATTCAGACCAATGTGAAAAGACCAAAAAGTGGGCGGGCAATATGCTAATGTTTCATGTGTCAACATGAAACGGATTGGGATTCGTTTTAAAAACGACTCGTTTCAATGATTCAGAGTCGTCGACTCTTTTTCACAGACGGAAAAGACCAAAAAGTGGGCGGGCAATATGCTAATGTTTCATGTGTCAACATGAAATGGCTTGGGATTTGTTTTAAAAACTCGTTTCAATGATTCAGAGTCGACGACTCTTTTTCACAGACAATAACTGTATACACGGTGCACTTTCAGATTTAAAACTTTGCAGGATGTTTTCATTCACTTAGAGCTGTGTTACACACTGCGTGAAAGGTAATTTTCAAAAATCCATAATAGGGGCACTTTAAATGCTTAAAATGATCATTTTCAGATCAAATATAAAGTGTAACTGTTTATGAATTTCCTCACAATTTTTTTTAATTAAAAAAAAGAAAGAAAATGAAAAGAAGAAGAAAAAAAACATGAAAAGTAGCCAAGAAGTGTTGCTGAAATGAAAGACAGCTTTGATTTGTTTAACTTTTTTACTTGGTCACTACGTAATTCTCATACTTTAATTCATAATTTTTTTTTATAATGGATCGAACTAACCGATAATAAAATTTGTATTTTTCATTACGGATTTTTTTTTCCTTCATTTTATTGATTTGTTGTTTCAACCCTAAAAATGCCATTCGACGGCTCTCACTAGAGTAACAGGAGCAATGCTGTCAGGGCGATCTGACCCAGACAGGAAGAAAGAAGGTGGTAAACTCTGAAACTTTGTTAACTCCATTTTTTTGTTTAGGTCTGTCCTTTTTGTTCCATTTATGTAGCATGCAGGCCAAAAACAGAGGGTGAAAATGGTTGACTATTAGACTCTCTCTTTCAATTAGTGATGTTGATATCCTTTATTGGTCCCTCTCTGATCTCACAATGACCAGGGCTCCGGAGCGTCTGGGCCGGCTGCCCACGCATTCCAGTTGGAAACCTGGTGCTGACGCAGTGGCACAGCTTTTCAAATTGTGCCGTCAACTGTGTTTGCATTCCCCACAGATCAAGGTCACAGAGGCTCGCAAGCATTCGACCAGTTTAGGGGCACAGGGGGGAGAAGTTTAGACACGGACCCATCCTCACATCAGAACTAGCACAATGGCTACATAATGGAAGTCGGTTAATGTGACCAGAGCAAAGCAGCATAATTAACTCCAGTTTCAGAGCTGGAAAGAAAATGATGTATTGTATAAAGATTATGAATATGTGCTAAACTTATTGAACCTACAGTAGCTAAAGGGAATTATTCTGCTGCTGATTATTCTGAAACCAAACAGGAGCTCTTTGAACAGTGTTTGAAATGCAACTTTCATGCCACAGAAAGAGGTCAAAAACCTGCTGATATAACAACATTACACTAGCTTTAAACATATATATATATGCCATATAATAAAAGGGTATCACTTTAGAATAGGGACCAATTCTCACTATTAACTACACGGACCCATCCTCACATCAGAACTAGCACAATGGCTACATAATGGAAGTCGGTTAATGTGACCAGAGCAAAGCAGCATAATTAACTCAGCTGGAAAGAAAATTATGTATTGTATAAAGATTATGAATATGTGCTAAACTTATTGAACCTACAGTAGCTAAAGGGAATTATTCTGCTGCTGATTATTCTGAAACCAAACAGGAGCTCTTTGAACAGTGTTTGAAATGCAACTTTCATGCCACAGAAAGAGGTCAAAAACCTGCTGATATAACAACATTACACTAGCTTTAAACATATATATGCCATATATATAATAAAAGGGTATCACTTTAGAATAGGGACCAATTCTCACTATTAACTAGTTGCTTATTATTAACATGTCAGTTTCAGAGCTGGAAAGAAAATGATGTATTGTATAAAGATTATGAATATGTGCTAAACTTATTGAACCTACAGTAGCTAAAGGGAATTATTCTGCTGCTGATTATTCTGAAACCAAACAGGAGCTCTTTGAACAGTGTTTGAAATGCAACTTTCATGCCACAGAAAGAGGTCAAAAACCTGCTGATATAACAACATTACACTAGCTTTAAACATATATATGCCATATATATAATAAAAGGGTATCACTTTAGAATAGGGACCAATTCTCACTATTAACTAGTTGCTTATTATTAACATGTTGGCTGTTTATTAGTACTTATAAAGCAGATATTCTGCATGACCATATTCTACATCACTAATACCTAAACTTAACAACTACCTTACTAACTATTAATATGCAGCAAATTATGAGTTTATTGAGGCAAATGTCATAGTAAATGTTTGTTAATAGCGAGAATTGGACCTTAAAATAAAGTGTGACCAATAAAACCATACATAATTAAAAAACAAAATCTAGCATAGTATTAATATAAGCTTAAAATAATTTAATTAAAAATCAATTAATGCTTTAAAATTATATTCATCACAACAAGCAATGCTTCCACTAAGTAATATTAGCCTGTAATGCACCATAGCCACTTGGCGCATTAATATAAAATTGATGTTGATGAGGTTGATGTACGGTCACAGGTCTGCATATAGTGATTATAGCCATATTGAACAAGGCTCATCCAGAAATCTGTTTTATAATATTAGTTATACCAAACAGACTTTGAAATAGTAGTCAATTGGTTCAATTTGTTTCATTAAAGTGCTTACGATCACGGATAATTATATGACAGCATTGGAGCATTAATGCAGTCTAACATTGTGTTGAGCGTGTGCCAGACCTGCAGGCTGTAAGCAGAGGACCGGAGGGAGGAAACAGCTCTGACAGGGTGGTGTAACAGGGAACAGCCACAGCATTGTAAAAGCCCACCTGAGAACATGAGGAAAAACAGGACTCGGATAAGAAAGGAAAATTAAAAAAATGGCTTCTCAACTCAAATTTAGCATTTACTCTACAAGTAAATATAACCGCTAACCTAATAAGCTGCCTACCTAGGCAACTTTTAAGGCACATTTCCGACGTGAAGGCATGGGATAGGAAAAGCAACATTCTTCTAGGAGCTTGATAATGACAGAAAGTTCTCATTTACCTGTCCCTGGGGAACCTCATCCTTTTTATCCCTGTCCATCATAGGGATGGGCTGCATTCCAATCTTCTTCATTTCATCCCCCTATCATTACAAACCAGATGAACAATTTCACTGAATGTCCTTCAGAGGTCTGGCCTGCAATTTGACATACCGCTCAAAACAATACAGAGACCTGTACAATGATTTACTTTATTACACAATATTGTTACAATAAAACAATTCATGCTTGGCTTACAATGATTAAAGCTTACCTCAGTCCAGAACTCAGCATAGATGTCATTGGCCGTGAGTCGTGTGACGGGCCACAGTTTGGTCACAGAGCAGAGATCACAGGCCGTCATCATCAGACCGATCACACGGTCCCTGCGGTGGACAAATAATCAACCAGCAATTCATCAACGGGATCAGATCAGGGTGTGAATTAATTACATTTGCTAGCAATTCTCTACATTAACATCTATTGCTTTGCTTGAATTAAGTTGTAATATGTTTCAAAAAACGGGTCATATAGCATTAACAAAGCACCTTCACAATAAATGCTGGGACAGAACATTATGTAATTCTCTTTTTCAATCACAGTTTGGTTCAATTTATCAAAAAAAAAAAAAAACTTAAAACGTCTAAAATTTTAGTTTTGTGAGAAATTCATACATAGAGCTTTTAATTTATGCTGATTTAATTTAGTAGTGACTAAATTGAAGAAATGTGCTTAATTGAAAATAATTATTGAAAATAAACCTTGTTGAAAATAATGTCACAATGTAAACAACAACAACAACAAAACAATCAAATAGTAAAAAAGGGGCAAATTATGACTTTAGGGAAAAATGTAACTTGGATATATTTTCTATGTTTATTTTAAAGTGACATAGTTACATGTTACATCATGTATTTACTATAGTAATACCAGAATTGAAAATTATGCATAATTGAAAGCAGTTAATTAATATTACTCAGTACTTGTGCAAATTCACTAAGACAATCTCACCTTCAAATAAAATGTAACAGTTTTTGTGAGACTCACTCAAGCAGTATGTTCCTACTTCAGTTCAAACGCAGCCTTTGATACTGTTTTGGTGGCTCCCTGAAAATATCTCTGAAGTTGAGTTCTGTGATAATGGAGGTGAACTATGACCTCTGACCTGTGAGCACGGTTGTTCAGGTCCAGCTCCCCTGTGGCCAGCAGTTCAGCCAGTTGCTTGCGGTTGCCAAAGTACAAGGCGAGGTCTGTAGCAATGATGGCCTTCCTGATGATCTCCAGCACCTGCTCATACTCACTGGAAGTCAGGTTGGAGAAAATATTGTGCCCTTCCAGCTATGGGAAAAAAAGAGATCAATAAAAAAGCAAAAGCTCCACTTTATGGGGCGTCTGGCTCTGCTGGAGAGTTGCAGCAAAGCCGAAGTGGCATCCAAGAGATGGCTGACAACCAACTGACTCTGTTCAAGATGGGAAATTTCTTAAATATGGGAATGAGGAAAAAAAGAAACATTAGACCATAAGCCTTTTTTTTTGTGGTCGACCTAATGCGAACTGCATTCAGCACAAATTTTGGGGGCATGTTTGCATTGATTCCTGATTTGTAAATAAATGGCACTACCACGTGAATGCTTCCTTGTATCTCAGCTTGTGTCAATATGGCATTTAAAGACAATGTGATGGTTTCTGCATGCAAGGCACTACAGGCAAAAGCATTGTTTTTGGTCAATTTTATGTAGGCTATTTGGCTTTTTATAAACTGTTGTTTCAGACTAGTGGAAAGAAAACATCAAACATACACTTTTAAGTGTTTATTTTATTCATGTTATCCATTTGCGTCTCTAGATTTTAATTGCAATACATATTTTTAAAGGCCATTTTCATAAAATGCAGCTTACTGCATTACAATGTTTGGTGTATGTAATTTACTATCTATTCCAATCTCTGTATTTATTCTTATCTACATTTTGATATTATGAATGGTCTTACAGAGTGGTTTCTTCACATATTATTCTCCTGATTTAAAAAAAAGAAAGAAAAAAAGATGACTTTTATTCAGGCTGTTGACAATATTTCCTGATTTAGGGAGTTATGTAATCGGATTACTTTTTTTAGAATTAACTAGTAAAGTAACGTATTACTTCTAATTTTACAAGAAAATATCTGAGTTGCTTTTTCAAATAAGAGATGCAAGTTACTTTGTTTTCCCATTTATTTACTGACTCCTCTCCTGTCCCTATATTCAGATAAATTGGGAATGAGGTGCAGATGCACTTCCTTTAGGCTGAAGCTTATTAATTTAACTTTTGGTGTGAAAGGGCCTTTATAGTTGACACAAATATAACTTTTGGCTTTTCTGTTATTAAAAATAAATAAGCAAGCCCAGCTAAGATGACAAAAAGTAACGCAAAAACAATGTAATGCATTACTTTTAAAAGTAACTTTCCCCAACACTGGACTCTAGGCCAATGAAATGAACCATTAATTTTGAAACTGCCTTTATCCAGTGTTCAGATTTCTGTTCTGGGAATGTATGCAAATTAGTGCATTTTTAATTAGATAATGCCTTAATTAAATATTTAAAGACAACATTTCAGAAACCTTGCAATCCAAAAATGTTTGCAATCCTTAACATAATCAGTCAACTGGGGAAGTATAGTGATATCTGTTATTTATTTATTTATTTTTTACATTACTCACCTGGGGTGAACAACAACATTTAGCAAGGACTATAGCTTTAAATAACAGGCACTGAAATCATATATAAGACCAGTGCCCAAAAGCCAATTTTATACCATAAGTGATATAGTCATTGGAGAATCTAAGGGAGTCTGTGCACATGTTCGTGCCCCATAACAGGTGGGTGTAACTGACCACATTTAGCTTGTTTGAAACTATCGTACTGAGCTGGCGCAGTGTGTAGGAGCTTTACCTGCAGGATGGACACTGTCTGTGAAAAGTGATGCTGTTCCATGGTGGATGTGGAATACAGGGCAGCCAGCGGATGGTCAAACTTCTGTAGATAACTGTTACTGTAGCCGCGGTGGTCCAGGTCATGACATAAGCAAGCAATCAGTAAGCCTTTCCTCTGTGTGAGAAGACATAAACAGGGCGACGGAGTAAGTCACACTATGGAGCTACTAACTTCTGCTAACTACATTTTTCAGTGACACTAAAGGACTGATTCACACCAAGAATGATAACGACAAAGATAACTATAATGTTAACGGCACACTTTATATTAAGGCCCAATTCTCGCCATTAGCAAACCATTTTGTGGTAAGGTTAGTTTAAAAGGTGGGTTAAGGGTTAACAGTATAATTATAGATGTAATTACAAAAATTAATTACAGATGTCATTACATGCAGGTATTTCTTTAAATATAACTACAAGTAGAGTGAGTGATTGTGGATAGGCTAGCAATAGCAACCTAGCTTTGAAAGCATAAGATCCCACCCTTCCTGCAAATCACTCTCTAAAGCCACGCCGCCTCCAAATAAACTAACAAAAAAAGGAACGGCCACAGTTCTTGTGTTTCTTGCTGTTTACTACTTGCACATGGTCAGCCAGCAAAATAAACCTCTCTTAAATGTAATGACTATCCCCCAAAAATGGAGCAATGAATTTAGTAACATAGAATGAATGTATAAGTGTATAATAGTTGCTGCACTCTTCAGTTAGAGTAGTTAACATTTTGTTAGAAGCTCGTAGTTGAAATAAGTCACTTTTGTAAGCTCACTGCAAATGCTAATGTGAGAATGACACTGACCTCAAGCTCAGTGAAGATCCCAGTGGTTTTTTGCAGGATGGCATACATGCAGTGTGCCACCGTCACAGCGTGTTTCCAGTTGTGATATGGAACTCGTCTGTAATTTTTCCGCACTGACATAGTGAAGCGACACAGTTTCTCCTGCTCAAAGCTTTAACACAAAGAAAGTGAAATCTTTGCCTTGTCATAGCAGTGCTGTAAATGAGTGTTTCTTCATCTACGGGCACAATCCAAATGATTGATTTTTATTAAGACCATAGATTTAATCTTATTGTTATATGAAGGTTGTTTATTTTTATTACTTAAATGCCTTTTAAATGCTATTTACACCACCAACAATTTTGCCCAAATAAAGATTTTAGTTAGTTTACTAAAATTATGCAAAATGTAAAAATCATCTCAGTTTACGTATGTAACCATGGTTCCCTGAGAACCTAGAGGTCGCTATGGGGGAACACCTTCAGCGTGACCGGTGCCTGAAGCATACATCTAAACACGACCGTAACGACAATAACATTGGCTGACGACAGCCTATGACGTCATTACCCAGCGTGACCATAGTATAAAAGGGTGCCGGGAGAACACGTCTTCCGCTTCTTCATCTGAAGTTTGCGTCAGAAGCATTGCAAGGAATCTAGAGGATGCAGTGTCTCGTTCCCTTCTCAGGGAACCATGGTTACATACGTAACCCGAGACGTTACCTTCCGATGGAATTTCGAACTGCGTCCTCTAGAGGTCGCTATGGGGAATGGTATACCCACGCCGCCATGCTGAGGGGAGTGCATGCCAGAAACCACTGCGAGCACTAAGCACCAACTCTACCCATAGCCATGGGAGTTGCCCCTAGGACGCCTTGACGGCTGTCAGTGACAATATCCTCTCCGACCAAAGGCCTGAGCTGCATACCTTACACAACTTACCTGTTAAGGGCTGGGCTGGGACGCCCGAGCCTAGGGCAGAGTTCAAAGGCTTGGAATCAGAGGATTCCTTTGAGGGGATACGGCCAGGTGACTAAAAACTCACCCCGGACCCTGGCCTGTCACCCAGGGGGCTACCGCCAGTTCTGAATGAACCTGCTCAAGAACTGCCTCGACAGATCCTTGGTAGCAACACCCTGCTTCAGAAATGTATCAACAGGGATACATTAGTTGAGTGGAGCCCAAGGAGAAAACCGGGGCTTAAACCAACTCAGAGAAAGGGAACGAAGCTGACAGCACATAACCCTTACCATACAGGATTTTAGAAAGCATGCAAAATGCTTAGTGGGCACACTTACCACAATGTGGACTTTAGAAAGTGCACAGAAGCACAGCATGTGCCCTTACCATAGCATGTATTTAGAAACACTGTTACTAAGGGGCAACCGAAGCTGTCACTTAGACAGCCTAGGATCCCTACGTGATTGTGGCACGCCCAGGACGTGACAGTTAATTCAGCCGTACTCAGAGGGCATGTGGATTGAAAGGCGTATCTCATAGAAAATCCCACCATATGAGGGGAGTATCACCAACTCAACCATAGTAGTCACAGAACAGACCCCAGAGCATTTGTTCATGTATAACTTGAAGGGGTGTAACACCCAGCTCTCAGACCAAGAGGGGATACCAATGCCTGACTGGGAAGCAGTGTGTTCATAGATAACCCTCTAGGGTGAGGGAAGCACTATTGAGCTCACCAAGAGAACAGCCTAATAGGAAGGCAGAGTCCTGACATGCCACCCAGCGGAGCTCACAGAGCGAAGGATTCGACTCTCCAATGAGAGGGACTCAGTTACTCAGAAGGGAGATGATGGCCCAGCCGCCTGGCATGACTGTTAACCGGAGCTCAATGGAGCGGAGGCTCAACTCTCAAAACCGGAGAGGAACTTAGGCGCTTGATTCGGGAGCAGCGTGCTCACAACAGACCCTCTACGGTGAGGGGAGCACAGCTAGGCTCGGTCAAGAGGGGGCAAACTATCAGGGAGGCAGCAAGTGGCCAAACCACCTGATGTCGCTGCCACAGAGCTCAAAGAGCAGAGGGCTCGACCCTTAGCAAAGAAAGGGGGACCCAACTTGACCGAGGCGATCATTAGCCCAGGGCAAAGTACCTAGCTTTCAAGAATAAAGAGGAGGACTCATGTAATCCACCCAGGACTGGCGAGCCCATAGAAGACCCTCCCGCAGTGAGGGGAGCACGGCCATGTCCAGGGAGCAGATGATTGCAGATGGGACATCAGAAACGGGATCCAGCTTAGAAGAGGATCACACATTCCAACAGGGAATAACAGGGTCCCAGCATAGAGGCAACTGACCAAGGAGGCGACAGGACTGGCCTAACACTCGGTAGAGAGTATGGATCCCATTTGACCAGGCCTACAGAGAAGCTGTAGAGGCAACAGGACCCAACAACCCCTACAGAGCTACTGCTTCTCAGAGCCGAAGCACACAGTAATGGTTTAAGCAGAAAAATATCTCACTCATACCTCAGGGAACGCAGCATACTCAAGCTCACTCCGCGAAGGGGCAATTCAGTGGTTCAACCATAAGGGCAGTGTGACAGGGAAGTCCAGTGGGCCTGACCACCTATTGAACTGCAGAGTGGAATTAAGGAGTGTTAAGCCACTCAACGCCTCAGCGGCGAGGAGCTCTAGCTCAGAAAATGTGCATGATGGTCGAGAGGATGACTCAAACCTCAGGAGACCCCTCGGGGCGAGATATGAGTAGTGTGTCCTGGCCGGGGCAGCTTCTCGAAGCGAATACCCAGCCCAGACATCAAGGAGCAAGTCACGAAGCATTATACTCCGGGAAAATGCTCAGCCTGAATGAAGGACCCACGAGTCCTGAGATAACAGTGTAATACTAGGGACCTGATGGCAGAAGAGGCTCCTGCCGAAGCCCAGCGACTTAGCTGCGCTGTCCAGTAGGCATGAAGCAGAGAAATAGGGCTAACATTCAGCCTGGATCCAGTACCGATGGGTGAGAATATCACCACGATCGCTCAGAAGGGGAAATTGGCGCATCAAGGAGAAAGCCCTTCTCTTTCATCCCGATATCCGCCAGGTTCACCCATAGATGCCTCTCCGTAACCACCATGGCCGCCATAGAGTGCTTAGTGGCATGGAGAGCGAGATCTGTGGTGCGACGCAACTCAGCCATCTCATCAGGGGATAAACCCTGGCCTTTATCCAGGTCTTTTATCCAAGCTGAAACATGACCTGCTGCTGCGTACGCCCTGCCATTCAAACGAGATGCATCTTGAAGGGGTTTGGATGGCAGGCAGGGAGCCTTAAGAGAAGATGTCTCTCCCACAGAGAGATAGCTGGCTAGCATCTCTTCATTAGGGGGGATATTCTCATAACCGTTCTCATGCATCCTCTCAATATTGGCATAACTAGTATGCTGAAACCTATGGATGCGGGATGAAAAATCGAGACGGCCTCGAGGCATCACTTTCTTAACCCGCTTCCACGGCAAGTCAAGCCTCGCCGCGGCACGTTCCATAACCTCAAGCATCTCAGCGTACGCAGGGCAGGAGGAATGAGAGGACTCAGTTCTCATCCGACATCTCCTGCTCTTCCTGGCATGGATCCAGCAGGGCACTAGCCGCTGGAATAGACGATGTAAGAGAAGTAGCATCGTCATCCAGCAGCTCACTCTCATCCATAACTGATGAGCGCAAAAGGGAAAGACTCTCTCTCAACTCATCAGCCAGGTTCACCTGCGATCCCCACAAGCTCATTTTCCTCCGTGCCTCAGCAGCGGCGAGTCCTGAACCGCGGGAAGCTGATGGCTGTCCCTCTTTCCTCGAAAAAGCGAAACAAACGAGAGCGGAGCTTTTTCATTGAAAAACACACACAACGCATGCAGATTGCCCCCTCGAGGACATCGCGCGTGTGCTCTTCACCCAAACAAAAGACACAAAGATCGTGTGTATCATAAGGTGTCAAATAACGAGGACATGAATCCACACACTTCTTAAATGCCTTACTAGTGCTCGCCATGGTTTAAAGAGCAAAGACTCTTACCGGAATGCACGCTTCAAACAAAACAGTAGAGAAGATGAAGAAGAGGATGACGTGTTCTCCCGGCACCCTTTTATACTGTGGTTGCGCTGGGTAATGATGTCATAGGCTTTCACCGGCCAATGTTATTGTCGTGTTTAGATGTATGCTTCAGGCGCCGGTCACGCTTAAAGGGGTCATATGATGCGATTTAAATTTTTCCTTTCTCTTTGGAGTGTTACAAGCTCTTGGTGCATAAAGAAGATCTGTAAAGTTGCAAAGACTAAAGTCTCAAATCCAAAGAGATATTCTTTATAAAAGTTAAGACTTGTCCACGCCCTCCTAAAACGGCTCGTTTAAACACGCCCCCACATGTCTACGTCACTGTGTGGGAAGATCTGCATAACACCGCCCAAATGTTCACGACAGGGCATCATCACAATATGGTAGGGGCGTAACATTTCCGTCACACGCTTGAGGTATTCGGCCAATCACAACGCACTGGATAGCTGGCCAATCACAGCACACCTTGCTTTTCGACACGTTTCAGAAAGGCGGGGCATAGAGGAGAAACAACAATGTACAGTATGTGGAAAATAATGTGTTTTTTAACCTTAAACCGCATAAACACATTTCATTACACCAAATACACAAAATAATGTTCTTTTTAGCTACATCATTTGACCCCTTTAAGGCGTTTCCCCCATAGCGACCTCTAGAGGAGGCAGTTCAAAGTTCCCTCAGAAGGAAACTGCTTTGATTGTTTGCATTTAGGATAACATACTGTCTATCAATTTAGCCTTAGCAAGACATTTTATTACAAACAAATATGTAATTTCCTTCACTGCTATTTCTACTACATATGCATTAATTTCTCTTCCTGGTTCTATGATACGTTGTGAAAAAACACACAGAGCTCTTAGAAATCGATACTTTCTTACCTGGTTTTTCCACATGAATTGTGAACCATGTATACAACTATTGCTGGCCACAGATCCTCAAAAGGAGCAATGTCAAAGTGAAACCTTAGACAGAAATATGACAGTTTGTTTGCAATTCAAATCTGCACAGGTGAAATATGAGCCAAAAACGTGTTCAATACATCCTGATTACAACTACACTCCTATGTCATGTCCACTTGTCCACACATGGAAATAATACCAAACCAATGTACACGCTTAGTTTTTGTGAATCATGAAAAATTATAATAAAAATATGGTATTAAATCCATCGCATCTACGAAAAAAAAAAAACACTCAATAAGCAACATAAGGCTGTGTGTACATATTTTTTTTTTGCTTTTAAAAAACAAGTATTTCATTCACCTAACTGTAATAAGACAAATTATGCTGTTAGCACCTATTTCACAGTTATTCAGATTGGCTTGTCCATTCAGATTTTAGAGTTGCAAAATTAAATAACCACTAAGTAACAGTATTACTGAAAGCCATTATGTAACAGTGATCTTCGATGCATGAGAGCGTAAACTCACAGTTCAATCTCTTTATATATGGCTGAAGGGAGGGAGAGTTGTGTGAGGGTCTTCCACTCTTCTGACGTGCAGATGCTGTGGTACGAAAGCTTCTCCATCGTCACCCGGTAAATGCACTCTGAATGTCTTATCCGGTGATACATCTGAATGCAAACACACATACACCCCCCCATGTGTCTACGCAGATGCAAAATATACATGCAAAACAGTCTAACCCTTTGAAAATAATGTGGTTGTATTTATCTAAATGGATATTTATCCTTCTATCTATCAGCTATGGTTATTTAGTGTTAACCATTCATGTTAGCAGATCATTTCAGGTACCATAAAGTAGTAGCATAATAATTCAAGTTTATTCTTCCTTCACTCTACCTCATATAAATCAGTAAAAGATTAAATAAATCACTGGCAAAATGTGAGGTGTAAATTCTATCTAAATATAAATCCCATCAGCGGATGGCAGCAGAGCACTCATGGTCTTTTAAATATTAACATTCCTCAATCATTTTAAAAGCTGCTATGTGAGGAGACTCATGTGTGATCACAGTGTTGCCAGATTGGGTTGACGTCTTCCAGCCCAAAAGCAACAAAACCTGCCCTCTGCCCAAAAAAAACCCACCTAAAACATTAACACTAAGTTTTTTTTGTTAACAATTAAAAAAAATTCCAAACTGATCCCAAACCATCTTAAATTTTGTCCATCTGCCCAAACCAGGGCCGCTGCAGGCCAAACGGGTGCCCTAAGCCGAACTGTATTGTTGTGCCCCCTCTTCCAAATATTATGGATGTAAAAAACACCAAAATTGTGATTGTAATTAAATTGTATTATTTACAAATTACAATTGTAGCTCTAGACAGTTACCTATGGCTATTATTTTATTAATACATTTGTCTGATTGATTTTATAGTCTCAAGCATTCAGAAATCACGCAAAAGAAAACTAAGCAGTTTTACTACGACAAAACCATGGTTAAGTTTTGTAAGGGTTGTGATGTCCACATGTTTTTGTTGAAGAAATGATAAAGGGTGTAGCATTTCTATCGTAAAAAGGTGGTCAAAAATGTAATATTAAGTGGATATTTGAATTAGCCTAAATGCTTGATCAATATAAAGGACTTGGTCGTCCTGTAAGTGTAACAGCAGCAACTACCAGGCCTTTGGCTCCCTTGCAGGCATTTGTAATAATATATGTAATGTACATAAATTGTTTATTTTGTATTACATTATTTATTTTAATGGTGTTATTCAATGAAACCATGTAATTATTAATTAACCAATCAATCATTATTGCCTCATTGTTTTATATAATGCATTTTAAGTAATTTTAAAGGCTGTTGTTGGCTTAGGTCTGTTTTTATAACCACAAAAAAAAACTTTGTGGTTACCATGGCTACAAGAACCATGATTTTTGGTTTTATTTGTAGTAAAACCATGGCTAATTTTCATAAGGGAATATGGAAAGTCAGAGAGAATATTAGATGCATTGTTGGTGGTTAAATTATTACCGACATTAAAACGGGTTACTAACGTCAACAATATATATATACATATATTAGGGCTGTCATTGTTAACGCGTTAACGCATGTGATTAATTTTACAATCCTTAACACATTAAAATAATTTGTGCTTATATGGACTCCTTATATCAATTGGTTCTTTGGTGTCCTTTTGGAGTTTCTAAGTGTCCTTTTTTGGAAAGACATCTAAATTTATCATGAAAAAAGCTTGCAGAAAATACAGATTTTTGAGAATCACCCTTTAATCTTTTGGTTTACTTTGCTGGATATAGCAAATTATGACAAAATAAACATTTGAAACAAGATAAATGGTCTATGCTTAATTTCATGAAGTGTGTGATTAATCACAGAAAAAGGGTGTGATTAATTAGATTAAAAAAATTTATCGATTGACAACCCTAATATATATATATATGCTCATGTTTAGATTTTTATTTATGTATATGTTAATTTTAATATTAATATAGAACGAAAGTTTTTTTTTTTTTTTTTTTAGCAACTGGGATGGTGCCCCTCTGGGAGTTGGTGCCCTACGCAAACTGCGTACTCGGTGTATAGGGAGCGGCGGTACTGGCCCAAACCAATTTTGACCTACAAATTAAAAGTCAAATCCGCCCAATCTGGCAACAATGTGTGACCCCACAGAGGACCAAGTGGCTGAAATCTCTGGTAGACAGTCCTCAGCCTGTTTCTTCCAAACATAACCATTCTCTAGGTGTTATTATAACCGACAGATGTTTTATTAGACTCCAGGTCTGCACACTTACATTTGCACAGTGTAAGGCCAAAGCACAGAAGACAGCGAACATCTTAAAGTTGTTCTCATCAGTTTTAGTGAAGGCACTACCTCCCAGCTTGTTGACCATTTGTACAACACCAATCACAGTCCCACGGCTGACTATGGGCATGCACAGGATATTCCGCGTCGTGTAGCCAGTGTAGAGATCTACTTCTCTGTAAAGAGCGGAACAGACAACAGAGAAATGCGCGCGTGCACACACACACACACACACATACACAGAGATGAACAACCATAGTGTTTGTATACGATTGAGTTAAACACACAACGGTTCTAAGTGTTGGCTCATCTAGGCTTAACATAATCATCTTATTGCAGATTTATTGTACACAAATCCAGAAGCCCCTTTTATCTGACATGTCCATTTTAACACCAACAGACTACTGTGTCCACATGTCCAACTCAACAATACACCCATTTCATGCATCTGCTTGGTCAATCTCATCAAATGTTTTTTTCTTCTCTCTCTCTCTCTCACTCTCTCTTCTCATTTTTTTTTTCATATAAATCAACAAACAATACCATGATGCGTACATATTTTAAAATAATATATTATTACTTTAACATTAGTGTAAAGAGAATGACATTTTTTGAATCATGGTATAAGAAAATGTATTTTTTTTAAATACATTTGTATTTATTTCTTTGTTTGTTACTTTTTTCTTTCTGTCTTTTAATTTTAAAATATGGTTTGTGCCATAACACAGTAACTTTACAGTTCTAACAGTTGTGCTACACATGTCACAGTTCAAAATTTTGTATTACTGTATGTTCAGTCATTCATCCAGCCTTAACTGCTTAATGTGTAACCTGGTTCTTAAAGGGGTCACATGATGCGATTTAAATTTTTCCTTTCTCTTTGGAGTGTTACAAGCTCTTGGTGCATAAAGAAGATCTGTAAAGTTGCAAAGACTAAAGTCCCAAATCCAAAGAGATATTCTTTATAAAATTTAAGAGTCAACCACGCCTACCTAAAACGGCTCGTTCTAACACGCCCCCACATGTCTACGTCATGATGTGGGAAGATTTGCATAACGCCGCCCAAATGTTCACGCAAAGAAAGAAGGCGTAACTTTTATTCTTGCTGTAGTATTGTTGTTGCCGCCGCCGCCATGTCGTGAAGGCGCTGTGTGTTTCCTTGTGAAAGCGAAACTACTTTGTTTGGTCTTCCAAAAGAGGACGATATTCGCTTCGTCATGCCTGGAGCTGATCCGTGCTGGTTGCTGAGGAAATACATCAACTTCGCGCTGTGAATCGCCGGATCGGCTTTCACCGTGGACAAAGCGGAGCCCAGCCCGGGGTCGTCACATGTGGTTGCCGCAAGCCCCCCCGCCGCCGCTCACTCTAGCCGCCGGCCTAAGCTGACTCTAGCCCACCGTGTGTGACGCTGTGTTTCAATGTGAAAGCGAAACTACTTTGTTTGGCCTTCCAAAATAGGACACGACTATAAATCAGTGGTTAAGTTGTATTTACAACACTGTTCCAGAACAGTTCAACCCAAATATTCCGATGTGTGCAGCACATGGACTGTTTACACCAAATACACAAAATAATGTTATTTTTAGCAACATCATATGACCCCTTCAACAAAGTTGCTTAAAATAATCTCAGGTGTTTTTGCATGGAAAATCTAAATCTTTATTACCTGTTGAAACGGGGGTCTGCATAGGCATCCGGAATATTCAAAACTTCTCCTGTTCTCGCCACCTGACCTGCTATTCCTTTCTCTATAGAAAACCTGGGGGTGAGTGTTTAAGATGAGTTACCAATGTATGAAATATGATTAAAATCAAGATATTCCAGGGTGAAAATATGTCTGGGTCCCATTTAACTTTTTTTTTTTTTGCACTGTATCACCACTGAGCACATTTTGTCCCAAATTGACACACATACAAATAAATGTAAATAAATAAATGAATAAAAATGCTGTCCTCATATTTCACTTTTGAGGGTTTTTTAACTCTTCATTCTCATGTTTCTTCTATTACAGTAAATAAATATATTTCTGTCATGACAACTCTCGGAGGGATTGGCATAGTAATGTACATGACAATGTTAATGTATTTGGTCTTGGCGGAATAGATCTGCTATGCTGCTGCTGGTGCTGCGGCAGAGCAAGTACCGAGACTTGCTACTGCCAATACATCCACAACATGCTGCTGTGAGCAGAAATACTGCTGCTGCACATATAACACATATGAATAACCCCCATATAGCATACATGAATCACCTCGTAGCAGATCTATACAGGTGGAGCTGGGGAAGGTGGAGGGTTTCTGAAGTGTGCTGTCAACTGCTACAGCAAACAAAAGCCAGGTATCTGAATATTGAGCAGCGAGCTCATTGGCTACCGATACAGGAGAGAACCAATCAGCTGCCATGTGACAATGATGTGACCAGGTCAGATTGAGCTAGACCTATCGGACTGCGCCATCTAGAGTTTCATGCCAGAACTCTGTATGTATATATATATATATATATATATATATAAATAATTTAATTAGCATAAAATAATACTACCATGATGTATAAATATACAATTATAATAAATAAATAAATAATAAATAAAATGGTTTTACAGTTAAAGGGGGGAGTGCTTAATTGTCTTGAAAATCGCAATACAGTGCAAAGATTGTAATGGTCCTAAAATAGGTATAATTTTCTTTATGGAAAATATAATGTATTTATCTTACTTTTGATTTTGAGCTGAAATATGAGCAAGACATGTTCTTAACAGGCTTTGCAAGGTTTCCATATAGATTTGGTGAAGCAGTAAACTACATCTGACAAAGAGAGTGTGTTGTACAACCTGCTGTACTACATTTACTGTACTCAGAGATTCAATTGGGAATTTTGTGACTTTGTGTAACTTACATTTTTTCTATGCAAAAAAATAAAACATAAGCAAACAAATAAATAAATTCAGCTGGTAGTTTACAAGGATGCAAAGACTCAAATATGACTCAAACAGTGAAGATCATGCTCACCTAATTTCTTTGGTTTTCCTAAAGACAGGTTTCCCTTCATTCTCCTCCCCGATATCAAACAGGTCAGAGTACAGCTCTTTGTTATTGTGATCTACCTGGAAGAGCGCACATCTGTCTGCATTAACCAGGTTTTTTGCATATATCTGAAACACAAATAAACAAGCATTTCCTTAATGACATTTCTCCAAGACGGAATGCAACATGTTTGTTGAGGAAATAATTTAAAAAAGATTACTATGCAAGTATGCTTCACCTGCAGTGAGTTCATCTGCATCAATAACCAGAATTCGTTTTGTTATGTATATCAATAGGCCACTAACGGTCGACCACTGCATGTGTCTATGTGAGACTAGCAACTGAGGAACTTCTGCTTCCCTCTGGATTTCACAACTTGGTGGCACATGGTGTCTTTTCCCCTCTAAGGTAAACTTCCGCTTTATGAAACTGCTGATGAGCGAGAAATCTCTTCAAACTAAGAAAGACATATTATTCATTTAACTACTCAAATATTACCTCCAATTTTTGGAAGTATGTGCTTGGAAAAGTCTGAATGAATCCCTGAGAGGGACACCAAGAGCTCAGAGAGATGCTGGAGCGGTGTCAGACTGACTTTCTGTCCTCTCCCTGACCTATTTGCATCACTTCCTGTGCTGCTTTGCTCAACAGGAAGGAGGGGACAGAGACATGAGGGGGCAAGAGATCTGATACTTAGAGCATATGAATATTTGTGCTTGTGTGAGTGAGATCTAGAGAATGCAAACATGTACATAAATGAGAAAAATAATATTTAACAACAAGCCCAAGGCTGGTGGGGTGAGTACAAGAACATGGCAAACAAATGAGAGAAGGTCTTTCATTGCACACATTTCTCTGGCGTTGATGGTGACACAGATGAGCGAAAGAAGAACAGCATGTTTGTCCTCATGACCAAGCATGTGACCTTACTGAGAGAAGGAAAACCTACTCACCATGATATGTTCAAGTAGAGAATCTATTGCCACTATGTTGTCAAAGTATGTTCTGTTTGAAATCGAAAAGGAGGGAAAGACCTGTCATTTTACAGGGATATCCATATGATACAAACACAGTATAACCATGCATGCATATATATATTCTTCATACATATACAGTGGGGAAAAAGTATTTATTCAGCCACCAATTGTGCAAGTTCTCCCACTTAAAAAGATGAGAGAGGCCTGTAATTTTCATCATAGGTATACCTCAACTATGAGAGACAAAATGAGAAAAAAAAATCCAGAAAATCACATTGTAGGATTTTTAAAGAATTTATTTGCAAATTATGGTGGAAAATAAGTAATTTATTATAATGTTAAATGTCAATAAACATTGAAACGTTTCAATATTATGGAGTCTTGGTCATATAGGGTATTCTCAATAAAACATATTCAGTGCACATTTTTACCTAAAAATTAAAAAGAAAAATGTAGGTACTTTTTGCATTGTGACATTCTTTTCATGATTATTAAGCATATTTATACTCCATTCATGTAATGTGAAAAAAGCTTAACTTTCAAAAAAAAAAATTTAAAAAAATCTTATGATTTTTTGGCAAGTGTTTGACTCATTTCATGAAATTCCCACAAAATATACTTTTATGCATGAACTCACTTACTTTGACACATCTAGGAGAAAGTCGTTGAGTTCTGTCTGTTTGGCAAGACCTCTGCAGACCTGTGAACAAAACATGAACAGGAAGCTTTAAGATGGCAATCCCCGCAAGTGGACCCGCAAGAAATTACTCTCTATGTGAATTCTATGTTTAACTGATTATGCTGATCACAAGCCATCAATTAGTTTTTTGTAAAAAGCTGACAAAGTTATTGTATAGATTCAGAAAACATGGTGCATATGTCATGTGGAGTACTTTTACAGTGCTTTTCTGTTTCTGAAGTTTGAATGCTTCACTCTCCATCTTCTCGTTTTATGTTGTATGTAACAAAAACTGCTTGGACATTTCACTAGATAACACGTGACACGTAGTGACCGACTGAAAGGGAACTGGCATTTTTGAATGAACTATTCCTAAAGAAATAGTTCAACTAAAAATGATAATTTTGACATTAATTACTAAAGATTGATTAAATTTCATTTTTGAATGATCAATTCCTTAAGGCAAGACACCCCATGTAAATAAATAAATAAATAAATAAATATCACCATACTTCGCCAGTTGATTGATTACATTAAGAATTGCTTAATGTAAAGTTTTCTGAAATGTTGTTTAAATATGCAAATAAATCATTATTTATTTAAACATGCACTAATTTGCATACATTCAATAAATGTATAAAATCAGGCAAAATATACAGTATATGAACAAACCCCTCATAAAAACCCTTCATAATATAGATGGAAATAAAACTGTATAGTTTGGTGTAAGTAATTGTGGCTGTAGTGGAAATTAGTGGCTCAGTGCAGGGTTAAAAAAGGCCTTTTAAAGATAAGAGAAAATGGCCTTTTAAAGATATGTAATCAAAATCTACACAAATAGATAAAGTGCAATCAAAAAACATCCAAAACACACTTTTAAGTGTTTTTCTTTCCAGTAGCCAGAAAAATTACTGTGTGCCATACTTCGCCAGTTGATTGATTACATTAAGAATTGCTTAATGTAAAGTTTTCTGAAATGTTGTTTAAATATGCAAATAAATCATTATTTATTTAAACATGCACTAATTTGCATACATTTCTATAACAAAAATCTGAACATTGTATGAAGCCAGGTTCAAAATTCTTCTTTGATTTTTCTTGACATATTAGAATCAAAGGTTTTATACGGTAAACATTATTAGCATTTTTTTTCATTCCATAAATCAGAAAAGTACTATCAACTGCTAGAAAAGAAATTAATGTGCATCTTTTTTTTAATGAATTAAATGTATAAAATCAGGCAAAATATACAGTATATGAACAAACCCCTCAGAAAAACCTTTCATAATATAGATGGAAATAAAACTGTATAGTTTGGTGTAAGTAATTGTGGCTGTAGTGGAAATTAGTGGCTCAGTGCAGGGTTAAAAAAGGCCTTTTAAAGATAAGAGAAAATGGCCTTTTAAAGATATGTAATCAAAATCTACACAAATAGATAAAGTGCAATCAAAAAACATCCAAAACACACTTTTAAGTGTTTTTCTTTCCAGTAGCCAGAAAAATTACTGTGTGAAAAAGCCCAAAATGTCAAATTTGACAGATGCATGCAAAACAGTGTTTTTGCCTCTAGTGTCTTGCCTTAGAGCCCTAAAATATGTTACTTATGGTCCTCCTTGTCTTCTCATCACAACCATGTTCTGATGGCTACTAACTTCTGAGAAGGTTTGTGTCCCAGAGTGAAATTTACTCCCAAAGAGTCCCGTGATGCACAGGGACATTAAAACCCGGAGTGGTGTCATTCACAGCATACAACCGTTTACGTACAAACAAGACTGCATTGTCATTAATTGCACCTCCTGAGACGAAGGTGTGTTTAATGTGTGGTCTGTTTGCTTACACTGGGCCCACCAGCAGCCTGGTCCATGTACACAGTGGATTACAGAAATCAAAACACGTGTGTTCAACCAAATCCAACAAGCAACGCATTGTTTTTAGTAAATGTACTCACCTGGACTTGGTGTATGGCTACAGATGCCCAGGCCAAATTTGCTGTTGCAACCTAAAAAACAGGGTACACTTAGTCAAAGACACACTATGTGAACCTTGAGCACTCAACGAACAAGCAGAACTTTATAGTCCTGTGTACCTCACCTGACAGCTGAATATCTTGTTAGCCAAAGTTTAAATAGAAGTACACATTCTTTGTTATTACTATTTTCTATATTTTACAGCAGAAATGGGTAAACCTTTATAATCAGTGTTGGGAATGTTACTTTAGAAATGTAATAGGTTACAGATTACTAGTTACAAGTAGTGTAACTATTTCAATTACTTTATTAATGTAACTAATTTTGATTACTTTTCTAAATGACTAACAAATGTTTTTTAACTGTTAAACCTTTCAAACATTTAATTTTGAAGCACAGCACTGCAACACATTTTTATCACTCGCCATGGTGGCAACTCTCAGACAGGTTACAGCCTAAAGCTTTTAGCGGCAATGTGGATTGATATAATTGGTGGTTTTGACATTGTGCACTGCAAATTCAAACAAGAACCAATCAAAAGCATCAGAATAGCATTGCTTTACTAAACAGCCTTTAAATGGCAGAAGGCACTGTGCACATCAAAAACAGGCAAAGCAACAAAATAATATTCAACATCTCCTAGCTTTTTACTGAAAATATTCAGATGTAACATCTTTGTAATGACTAACATTTTCATAAGTAACTGTAATTTAATTACACTTTTTTTCTCAGCAACTGTAATTGATTAGTTACATTTATTTTGTATTTTGTAATTAAATTATGGAATGGCGTTACATGTAGCTAGTTACTCCCCAACATTGTTTATAATCTACTTTGCTCTTATAATGTACTGTGAAATGCTAGATAGCATAAGGTCTGTACCATACTACAACTTGTATTGATCAAGAAAGGACCAGCTATTTAAGGTGTGGTCACATTAGCGAAAATTTGGTGGAATTTCGTGGGCAAAAAAAGGGCATATTGTCACACCCATGGACTGTTTTGTGTTTGTTTTCCTCCCCACCTAACCGAGCCCATGACCTAGTTTTCCCTCATGTGTGTCATTGCCCATATTTGGTTTTGTTCCTGTTCTCGTTTTCGTCTGAGTAGTTATTCTGGTCACCTGTGTTCCTCCTAATTACCTTATGTCATGTATTTTAGTCCTGGTCTGTGCATTCTGTCTCTGTAGGGTCTACTTTGTTGTCTACGTGTGTTTGCTCCAGTTCCTGATGTGGATTATCCCCTGTGTTTCAATTATTAAAGACTGTTAATGCCACTTTGTGTCTCCATCATTCCTTCCGATAGCGTAGTGTGACACATATACATTTATGTTCTTGTATTTTATATTACACATAAATATATTTAATATAAAAACATAACATATTTTCTTAAATATTACATGCATGTGTTTGTATTTATATTAGTGCTGGGCAACAATTAAACATTTTAAATCGCGATTAATCGCATGATTTTCTTCGATTAATCGCATTGTTATGATTGTTATGTTCATTGTTATGAAAATTCAATAATGAATTCAAAAGTAGTGTATTGTGCACTTTTTTCATTTAAAAGTACTGCTATATGAACAAAACATATATATGAACAACATAGCATTTGGTTTGCAAACATTTATACAAATAATGTTTTTACAGCAGAATTCCTTTTACATAGTAGCAGTTGAAATATTTATTGTAAATCTCAGCTTATAACATAAATGTAATCAAATTAAATATAAAACCAAAGATATTTGCCACTGCCAGGGCATTAACGTTTTTATAGAAAATATTGTATAGTTTGTTATATAAAAACAAGTTATGCTCAGAGTCCAGAGCCTCGAACATAACAGGTACCTTCCGAGTAGAGACCTGCACGATCGCGGGACAACACTTGATAGGCGAGTGCGGGCAGGTAGAGACTCATGTGTGTGGGATGTGGGAGAATAAGTACTCGCACTAGGCAATCTTAATTGTGCCCGAGCGTATTTGACTCCCAAAGCCCGGTTCGTTTGACTAGTGTGATCGCTCCGTGCTGCGCTCGGTCACTGTTCGTTTAACTGGCCCTGGCTCGGTTGGAAGAGGTGGGCCAGAGCGTGGTTCAGTTTGGCTCGGGCGCAGTGCGCATGTAGTGTCGGAGCGCTGAACTTCTGATACGTGCAGCATGATTGCTTGAACATTTCTGAGCGTCAAAAGCGATAGATCTGTAAAGCAAAATATTGTGAGAGGGCCGTGTGTTACCGCATCCCAAACGACTCAAAATAATAAACCACAAAGTTAACAAAATGATGCACTCCACTGTGCTGAGCGAGAGCGCTTCCCTGCTGTCTTCACGTGCTATCGGAAACGTCCTATTTCCCACTTATGAAGTTGTGAGCGCTTCATGTGAGTGCTGCTGCAGTCTTAGGTCCACCCCATAAGCTCTCATTGGTTGAGACGCGTGATGGCACTCATCCCAAGCCAGTAGTCTACTGATCAACATCCCACCCCTCCTGTGACCCATGGTTTGTCTGTGTTTGTATTCACAGCCATTGAGCAATGGACTTTCGTAATAGGGCTCTGCAGTTAATCACATGCGATTGTCATGCGCATCGCGTCAGTAAAGCCGGTTTCGTGATTGGTAGTAAATCGCCATCACCTGCTTTCAGATAGTTCACTGACAAGCTAGGCGATATCACGTTCATAATCGAATGCGATTCATCTGCGATTATGAACACGATATTGCCTCAGTGAACTACGGCTCTGTGTAATGAATGCCGCTCAATCTAAAATATGTAGTTCACTGACAAGCTAGGCGATATCACGTTCATAATCGAATGCGATTCATCTGCGATTATGAACACGATATTGCCTAATTGTCAGTGAACTACGGCTCTGTGTAATGAATGGATCTCAATCTAAAATAAAATGTAAAATAATTGTAAAATAATTACAATTAAACTTCGGACAAGTGGTACTCAATAAAACTGGCAGTTTTATCACATGAAAATAGCAAAAATAATAAATAACTAAATAATTCACTCATTCTGATCTGAAAGCAGATGATGGAGATTTACTACTAATCACGGGACCGGCTTTACTGACGAGATGCGCATGACAATCGCATGCGATTAATTGCACAGCCCTATTTCATAATAATAAAAAACTGCGTTAACGCGCAATAAAATAATTGTAGGCGTTAATCAATTAATGTGTTAACGCGATAATAATGCATTAACTTTCCGAGCCCTAATTTATATAAATAATAAATATACACAGCACACACATATACAGTATATTATGCAAACAAAAACTTTTATTTTGGATGCGATTAATCGCAATTAATCTTTTGACAGCACTAATATATATATATATATAATTTTTGTTATTAAAACTCCAATTGTTTCTTATAGTAACCAGAACTACATCATAACAAACATGCTATTTTTATTTTTTACAAACTGTAGAGCTTCTGCGGCCACTTCATTTTTTTTTATGTGTTAATAATTACAATATTTACAAATACTGTATATGCATTTATTTTTTTATTCTATAAATTTATATATGTAATGTATTGAAATAACTTCTGACTGTAAATTCAAAGATGGCTTGTGATAATTATGGTTCCTGGCCTTCTAATTAAATGATCTTTTATTTTTAAGCCATATGTATACAACACTGTAGGAATGTGAGCAATATGGGAAGAATTCCTTTGATACTCTAAAACAGTGTTACTCATTGCGTGGCTCGCCAAGCTTTACTTTGTGGCTCGCATGGCAGTAAATAATACGATGATATGATCATGCAGTCAATAAAGATATTTTATAAAAAAATTAAAAACAAGCAGGGCTATAACCAGGCCCGGATTGGCTAATCGGGAGCACCGGGAGGATTCTCGGTGGGCCGGTCTGTTTTTTTGGCCACCACTGGGTTGAACTATGCTGTTTCTAGGCTACCTGCACTCATAGCAGCCCCACTCTTTTTATTTATTTTCTCGCAGGCCATATTATTATTTTCACCAGATCATATCAGTAAGTTAGTAACAAATTCTCAATTGAGAACTAAAATAGACTGTGATAACTAAACATTGTTTTTGTGCAAATCGTTGTTTTATTTGTGAACATAGGCGTTTGAGGAAGGATTTAAGACCAAGAGGAATTCTCTGCCGGCTGCTCCCGCTTCACAGCGAGCGGGACTCTCGCTAACTGCACCCTTCACCGTCCGCTTTTTAATTTTACTAAACCAGTTTGGGCGAATGCAAACAACTGGTTGATCATGAGCCCAACATCCAGCATGGCAGGAAAACATTTAATCTACCTGAGGGAAGACATCTTTCATTGCAAGTTAATGCGGTTAAATAGAGAGGGGAAAAAATGCATTACAAAAAAAAAAGAAAATAAATAAATACTTCTTGCGTAGGCTATTCTTAAACTTGGACCTCATTATTGAAGTAAAAATCCAAGCACCAGAATCGGCCCACACTCTCTTAAGTTATCTTTAATTAAAAAATATGCATTTTCATTCATTCAAAGGCATCCGTTGCAATAATATTTTAGATCAAAACTTCAAATGCCATTGATTAAAAAAAAAATGCTTGATTGACTGACGTGTCATAGACCTTCAGTTGTTACATTTTCAAATTTCATGCCATTTGTAATTTCACAGTATTTCTACCTCCTCAATTACACCAGTGAAGTCACAATTCTATAATGGTACAATTTAATCAGGCCGATGACATTTTTTGTATGACGTTTAAAATTATTTTGAGAATAATTGTACATAAATAGGTTAAGCAAAACAATTGTGATTATTTCTGAGAACTTTTTAACTGCAGGCAGACTTAGGCCTACATTATGGTACAGTAGGCTAGCCTACAAATATTTGGAGCGTCCCTTATACTGTCCCTTATTTTCTTAAATAATAAACACTTATTTTCTACAAGAATAAACACTATTTTCTTAAAGAATAAGATAAAGAATCACAATTGTCCCTTATTTTCAATTTCTTATGTTAATTGGCAATGAGGACGTAATTATCTTTTGACTCCCCTGACAGTGGAACCTTGCTAAAAAAAAAAAAAAAGTAATTGTTGGAGATATGCTAGCAAAAAATAATAGATTAAAAAATGCATAATAGAAAGCGCAAAGGCGGCACTGAAAAGCCCTGTAAAAAAACAAATCAAAACAAAAAAACAAAGTGGGCCGGTCTAAGGCATGAAACTCCAGGGCTGAAAATGAGCCCCACTCCGGCCCTGGCTATAACATAACCAATTAAAAAAACTCACACCATATCTACACCGGACGCGAGCCGACAAAAGACAATAGAACCCAGCGATGTTGTCTACACTGGATGCGGCGCGGCACCATGCGATACGACACGATCTCCATCAGTAAACTGATGCCTCGTTCTATTTATGACGAACTGTACTGACACTACGTTTAAATGATTTGCAACTGTCGCTTTGTCGCGTCAAGTGTAGTAGACAGACTTTTAGCTCAGCAGGGCTAAAACAATGACAATGGTCCGGTTTAGACACGGTCAGACAGTGTCTGCTCTATTACAAATAATATATATATATTTTTTTAAATACCTAAAACAGCAGCAATATAAGATGGAAATATAGACTAGAAAAGATATTTACACTCGCTCTGTCCTACGTCCATGACACTGACTCACTGCGGAGTAGCCCGTTTTAATCTTAACAGCTCTTAACGCCGAATGTGCAATTGGATGGTTAGATGCATACAAAAAAATAAAATAACTTAAGGTCTTTCCAGCATTAAGGTAATCCTGCTTTTTTTTTATAATCTTGTCTCAGTTACAAATTTGACTGGTAAATGATAAAGAATGATAGCCCCTTTTGTATTGCATTGCATTGCATATGACAGATTGATAAAAAGACATGCTATTTATGACTGGATGCAACTTTTGATACTTCGCGGTAAAAGTGGCTCTCCGATTGACTTTGCCCTATCAGTGCTGCTCCCACGAAAAAAATAGTGAAGACCACTGCTCTAAAACAACAATTTTGCCATGCAAATGCAACAATAGATTTCTTTTGAAGGATTTTTTTACAACATATTTTACTGTCATTTAACTGTTGCTAAAGTATAGCCTCTATAAAACAATGACAATGGTCCGGTTTAGACACGGTCAGACAGTGTCTGCTCTATTACAAATAATATATATATATTTTTTTAAATACCTAAAACAGCAGCAATATAAGATGGAAATATAGACTAGAAAAGATATTTACACTCGCTCTGTCCTACGTCCATGACACTGCCTCACTGCGGAGTAGCCCGTTTTAATCTTAACAGCTCTTAATGCCGAATGTGCAATTGGATGGTTAGATGCATACAAAAAAATAAAATAACTTAAGGTCTTTCCAGCATTAAGGTAATCCTGCTTTTTTTTTATAATCTTGTCTCAGTTACAAATTTGACTGGTAAATGATAAAGAATGATAGCCCCTTTTGTATTGCATTGCATTGCATATGACAGATTGATAAAAAGACATGCTATTTATGACTGGATGCAACTTTTGATACTTCGCGGTAAAAGTGGCTCTCCGATTGACTTTGCCCTATCAGTGCTGCTCCCACGAAAAAAATAGTGAAGACCACTGCTCTAAAACAACAATTTTGCCATGCAAATGCAACAATAGATTTCTTTTGAAGGATTTTTTTACAACATATTTTACTGTCATTTAACTGTTGCTAAAGTATAGCCTCTAGCTTACAGCTGAATGGTCTGTGTTAGTGAACATTCAAGATGACGTGAAGATTAATTGCTCCCAATGTCTGGCAAACTGGATCTGGCATGACACATTATTGCTCACTCCCAGTGTAGACATGAAGTAAGAGCAGTGACACATTTCACATACAGTCCTAGTCATTTCATAAACTATACAATATTCAAGCATTTGTTGAAATAGAATTTTGTCCGATTCATTCATTCAAATAGCGTCATAATGAGCTACAGTGAAATTATTGTGAGGATCTTTGAAAACAGTGAAGACAGCAAAACAGCATGCGACTCACCCCCATGATGTCCTCTACAAGTAGTGTCCTGCGTGTCTTTGCAACGTGAGCGGCGATGGTGGTCCCAAATGTGATGGGACCAGAGGGGATGAGCCCAGGAAGCCCCTCTTTTGCCCCCGTCGGAGTGAACAAACATAAACTCTGTGACAGAGAAAGCAACATCAACAAAACAGCATGATGTTAAGGAAAACGTCCTGATTGGTCACTCTAACTATAACATTTGTCATTTTAGGGTACTTTACGGTTCTCATTATATGTTGCTACCATTGCTAACGAATAACACAGCCTGAAAAAGTTGAATACTATCTTAACATGTAAAATAATTACAACTGAACTTAGGACAAGTGGTACTCAATAAAACTGGCAGTTATATCAAATGAAAATAGCAAAAATAATAAATAACTAAATAATTATTACAAATGACAACACCATAGATTGGTGTATCCATTCAATACTTCCCACATAATTATAGACCAGGCAAAAGAGAAGTCCTTTAAAACTGTGTTATCTGATTGGTCACAAAACTTGCCATCTGAGTAAAACTACTCAAGTGGATAACAGAGAGGAAACGAACATAGCAGAGGTCTCAAGCGTATTAATGCTATAGGAATTCCAGGCCATTATGAGACAAACAGAACATGTACATGACCAATCAAAGGCTTGCACTCATTTTGCTGAGTTTATGTTTCTCTTGATCTAAAGACCTCTAATGCTTCAGTGCTCAGAAATTAGTTTTGTTGACAAAACATATATTGTTCTTAGTTTAAGCAGTTTAAGTTGCTATATTATTATTAAAAAAATGTGGAAAATAGCAATAATATTGAATAAAGAGCAGCTGTGTCAAAGTTTTGACTGTTTTTTGAGTGTATTTAACAACTTCAACACCCACTAAACACTTTTCAGCATGTATTAACTCAACCAGATCAGAAAATACTTACATTGTTGCATTCTCCAAGGAAGTAAAGTGCAAATCCATCAGCTTTTGTGGCTGTGACGAAAAAAGAAAATACATAAATAAAACTCATAAAAAGTGTCACAGACTGATGTACCATGTGTTAGACATGAACATTCAGAATAGGACTGTACAGTCTCAAAACATTTAACTGGACAAAAATGCACCCATAGATTCGGAGTCTTTTTATGGCATTTGAAGGAAGAACATAAATAGCAAAGTGCTAATACATATGGATAATGTTTTTAACAGATATAATGCTACTTGCTTTTGAAGGACATCCAAAAATAAATACAAGTGAATATATAAAAGAACAAAAGAATATATATATATATATTTTTTTAATTATTATTATTATTTTTTGCATTATTTTGTTCCTTTGGGACATATTTTTATTTATATATATTTAATTTATACACACACACACACACACACACACACACACACACACACACACACACATATATATATGTGAAG